AAGTTTATCCCTTCCCAAAACTTGCATCATTACTGTTACAGAATTTATAATAGGCTACACATATTCTAAACGCTAAACAGACAGTCTTCAATTTGTATTGTCATTAGAAGGCAACCTCTCATCCTTTATGTGCTTTAGATTCCACAGGCTCTGAAAAGGCAGCACAGTGGGGCTGAGAAATCATTGGAAAGGCACACTAGTAATGAAAAAATCAACTAGGAGTCCTGAATCTGCCAAAAAATGAGCTACATGGTTTTATCTAAGCAATTCTTCCATCTGTCACATTTCAATCTCCCCACTGAAAATTAAGTCTAAAAATTTTATAAAACCTTTTAACTCAGAAATGCTAGCTTTCTAGAATTCTTGCACTTAGTTGACAATAACAGTTTACATTTCTATAACATTTATAATTTACATAGCACTGAACAGAATCTTAATTCTTTTAACAACCCAATTATGCGTTATTGCTCCAAAACAGAAAGGCTGACTTGTTCAAGACCTCTGGCACATGATTAAAAATAGAACTTTAATTTGAACCTAGGTCTTTAGATTTAAGGTTTCACTTTAAAACCTGAAGCCCTTGAGAATAAAATTAAGCCCACTGTCTCCTGGTGTGGGTGTAGCCACATTGCTTTACTTCCACAAACATGTTGACCACACCACCTTGGCCTACTATGTGCCAGGTGTGGGGCTTCCAGAGGCCCAGGTCCAACCAGCTCTCAGCCTAAATATAGGTCCCAGGCTAAGACTTGGCTCCTGACTAATGGGGGCAACTCAGCTCTCAGGCCTGGGTAGGCAGAGGTGACTATTTATCGCACCCTGGCCTCTTCTGCCACCCAGTATCATACCTGATATGTCAATATTCCGGATAGTTCTCCATTTCCATTCTCTACCATTCTGGTTTAAAATCCCAATTATCTTCATTCTTTTCCTCTGTGCCCGCCGTCTCCCACCAAATACTAATGTGACTGATACCTAAAACCAGGCCACTGTTCCCAGGATATCACATTACCTAATTTTCCTTATTTGTTCTTTACAACAACCCTCTTCAGAAGATATGAGGCAATGTCTACCAAAATACTTTGTAAACTGCAAACATCCATCAATACAAGGTACTGACATTGTTGTTAACTGCAGCTATGCCCTGAATTTTTCTTCTGCCACCCTTATACCTTGCCTGGAATGTTCTTTATCTTCACCTAAGTTCTCCGACCCATCTTTAAAGTTACATGAAGAAAATTACTGAAAGAACACTGCTCTCTTGAATTCAAAGTTAATACACTCATTTTATATTTAACCATAAGGCTCTTCGTGGCATTTTTTATTTCACTCTCTGGGGTTATTGTAACTACAGTGTAAACATTTAAACATTTCACACCTGTCTTCTTTCCTACTGACTTCTACCTTCTACTGCCCAGTCTTGTCGTAAATGTGTGTACTTATGTGGGTTCTCTGGGAGAGTGTCTGCCAGGGCCACCATAAATTTCATCAGAAAATAAATGTATAGGAAAATTCCTGCCAGGGCAAAATGACATACTTTGATTTAATCCAAACCAGTATTTTTGGTGACTGCTTATTATTTGGAATAATTTATTTACAAAGACTGAAGAAAGAAACTCCACTCCTTCCCTTAAAAAAACAAAAATTTATTTAAGAAAATAAAACTTAAATTAAATTTAAGACCTGAAGCAGATATTTGGCTCACCCCAGGGATCCTTTCACCATTTCATGATGGTGTCTCTTCACAGGCCTGGGGGTTTATAAATGGTTAGTGGGTTCTCACATTGCATGCATTTTGATGTTTTATTTTCCTTTCTATTTTTTTATTTATTCATTTGGGACTGAATCTCACTCTGTTGCTGAGGCAGGAGTGCAGTGGTGGGATCTGGGTCACTCCAACCTCTGCCTCCCAGGTTCAAGTGATTCTCTTGTCTCAGCCTCCTGAGTAGCTGGGATTACAGGCAAACACCACCACACCCAGCTAATTTTTGTATTTTTAGTAGAGATAAGATTTCCCCATGTTGGCCAGGCTGGTCTCGGACTCCTGTCCTCAAGTGATCTGCCCACCTCGGCCTCCCAAAGTGCTGTGATTACAGGTGTGAGCCACCGCACCCGGTCTGATGTTTTAATTTTCTTTATCTTTTTGTGAGAGTAGGGGACAAGGGGAGCTGGCATGAAAATTCACTCTCGTAATTAAGCTTTGGTTAAATTATTATAAATGGAATTTCCCTTCTGAGAGAGGCAACAACATACGGTGGAAAGAGACTGAACTTCATGGATAGCCAGAAATGGGCCCAAATCCCAGCTGCCTTACATGGTTGATGTGAGAATGGAATAAAATATGGAAAAGGACTAGCACATGTCATATGCTCAGTTAATGTTAGTTTATTTTCCTCTAAACCCTAATTACAAGGGAAGGTTGGTTGATGTGATAAGAAAGAAAACTAGATTTGGGTAAAATCTGATGTTGGAAAATCAACAAAATGCTTATTAATTCTTATGGTGAATGTAATTGAGTTAAATTTTGTTCGATTTCCAAGCTACAGTTACATATTTAATATTCTGATAATTTCCTGTGACCTTAGGACTGCTTTTCTTAAACACAATCTTACTAATTTATAGAATTCTACAGAAGTTGTAATGTAGAGTTAAAAGAACAAAGAAAATGTAATATTGGCAATTATGTAATATGATAAAGCAAAGTAGTTACACAATCCATAAAAGTTGCTTCCAATTTTGATGTAAATAATCCGGATTGGTTGTTTTAAATCTTATGAGGAAAAAAAGAGTAGTGGTGTTATGATTCACATCTGTGTGCTGGGAATCTTCATTTCAAATAACAAAGCACCTGTTTAGCTTTTTAATATTTCATTTATTCCAGGCTGGCTGTCTTCACTGTCAAAAATTCTTTGGAAAAATGAATATTTTTCACTGATCCTGTGTTGTGAGGATTTGTTCTGGGATAATCATAAGCCATAATTAAATAATGTGCAGGCTAATACACTAGCAGAAAATAAGGAAGAGATGTCCCTCAACTAACTAAGAGATACTCTAGGGATTACTTCATCTCAGGGATTTAGTTAGGATGTAAGTATGAACACATACTACGAATGGTTATAAAAATGCTTTGCTCACAACATGGCAACTATGACTTCTGTCAGCTCAGGCATGACCTCGGTTGTGTCCACACACACCTTGATTCATCAGGACTAGGCTTCCTGTGAGCAAAGCCATGCAGTTGGTGGGCTGATGATTGTGCAGGTACTGAAATCCCCATCCTCTCCTGTATGAAGTTTCATACATATACCCTGAGGCATTGGCAATCACTTCAAGAAACTTCTCCTGTTGTGTCTTGCTCAGGTAGTTGTACAAGAAGTCATAAGCAGTGGCGAAACCAACCAGGGAGTGAGCTAGCGGGACCTCATCCCAAGGAGCATCTTTCACCAACCTGTAAAGGAAAATAAATCATGGAAATGAGTTCGTCAGACTCACAGCTTTCATCACACTTCTAAACCATCTATTTCTCAGAACTAAAGGGCACAATTGAAGATATAAAAGAGGCTTAATGACACACAATTGACTTCCCTCCACATTAGAAACAAGCATAAAGTTTGTCTAAAATGTGAAAATTATACAGTTAACAGTTTTCTCTCTCAGGATTCTGGCAACATCAAGATGTTGAGAATTTTTACTTTTGATTTTTTTATTCAAGACAAGAGGTATTAGAATATATTCAAAGAGATCTAAAGCATAGAACATGTGGTGGCAGGGCAAAATTCTCTGGAGTACCCGTTTAACTAGTGTTCACCCCTTTCCTCCTTTTCACTTGAATAAGATGCTCTCAGTTCTATTCCTACGGCCACTTTGCCAAGACAGTTGAACGTATGTATTTCCTCTTATTTCCCATAGTTGGTCAATGTGAAGTTATCATGGCCGATAATCCATGACCTCTCAATCTGGACAGGCCCATTTGGTCATCACCATGGCGGGAAGAGTGGCTAACAGGCTGATGTACGTGAGTGGGAGCTGATTCTACCTCAGAATTTTTATATCCCTCTTTCCCATAAACTGAACTGCACTGCCTTAAGGGTTCTTCACATATCTTTCTGAGAAGCCTAAAAGTTGATCTTCTGTTAAGAATTACATTGTCATTTTCCAGGAAGCCAAATTTCTGTTTGACCGGCTATATTGTTCTGCAAATTAGTGTGTGGCTTGCACTGAGCAGGAAGCAAAAAAGGATCTTTCACAATCAGAATTCTAAGGAATTATCTGGAAAATCCTTCCCATCTGTTCAGGATATATTTGAGTAATCTCTGAGTGAGGGATACAAATCAAAAGTGTGCTGCACCTGTGGGAGGTAGAAGAAAGCACTCAATTAGGGATTAAGCTAGAGCTTAACATTTCTATGCCATGAACCTCTTTTGGCAATATCATGAAGTCTTAACCTCTTTCTCAAAATGTTTTAAAATTCATAAGACATAATATGTAAGGATACATGAAAATCTATTAGTTTGAAATACAATGATCAATACATATATTTTAAAAAATAATACAGGTGCTTCTTTATTAAGGTATTAAATACCAACATTTAATAGCAGGGATAATAACTACCATAATTTATAAGTGGTAATAAGCATAAATTTTGAGATGTCTATAACAACTGTAATGTGATATGAAAATATCTGTGACACCTATCTGTGACTTTGTTACAGACTCTTCCAATACCATTACAACTGGTTATCTATGCTTATGATTGGAAGAAATGTTGGATTTCAGTTAAAGTTAGTAAAAATTAAGATGTAGTAGTTCTCTCAAACAAACCATATAGACCTCAGTTTAAAAATACTTAAAAATATTCTAAGAGACTACCTCTTCAAGATTATGTTCTTCCTTTAGAAGTTTATGCTAAAGAAATGGCCTAAGTGAGGCCTTCCCTGGTCACCCTATCAGAATTTCATCATCCTCCCTAAATAATGTTTAATTCCCCTTCTCTTTTTCCTCTTTAGCAAATATATGTACAAACATATCTATGTCTATGTATCCCCTCCTGGAATTTAAGTTCTACAGTGGCAGGGCTTTTTTTTTTTTAACTATTGTATTCACAATTGGATCCCCAATTATAGAACAGTGTGGCACATAGCAGATGATCAATAAATATTTTCAGAAAGAAGGAAAAACACCTATAATTCACTGTCAGCCACACTGCTGGCAATGATTATGTGATCATTATGAAATCAGAAATTTGGAGAGATCCCTCTATGTTTAGTAATAATTTCAGTGTTTGGTTAACTGTACTAGCGATACATCCTGGTGCTGAAAAGACTAACACTAATTAATTTCTTAGCAATCTAGTAACAGACAAAGCTGCTTTGCTCTAGCCAGTCAGCTTGCCAGTGTGTACCGTTTGTAAACAGACTATGAGAGTGTGAATGAATTCCCTACTTCTAGGAAAAAGACAATTCATACTGCACACTCACTGCTATGGAGTTGGGAATACCATCTTCACTGACTCATGATGACTGGTGAGCCAGGTAGAGAAGCCAGGTCATTTGCTTCCCAACCTTGTGTCATTGTACCATGTCATGATGCATCTATAAATGGCAGTATATACACCAACCCATGATAAACCTGATGTCAATGAATTGCTACCAGCCAGCAAACCCTCACATGTGTGATTAACAAATAAGCTTATTTTTATAGATAACCAGAACATTTGATATAATTCTCATTCTTCATGAAATGTCATGCAAATTTCTGTGAAAATGTCCAAGCCCCAACATAGTTTGTTTATTTCAAGCAGTTTCCAATTCAACAAAACACTAGCACACCAAAAGAAAAGGTTTATGGCACCTTCAGGTTGTCCCTGTATCATTAGAAAAGCTGACCTGTAGGCCGGGCACGGTGGCTCACGCCTGTAATCCCAGCACTTTGGGAGGCCGAGGCGGGTGGATCACGAGGTCAAGAGATCGAGACCATCCTGGTCAACATGGTGAAACCCCGTCTCTACTAAAAAATACAAAAAATTAGCTGGGCATGGTGGCGCATGCCTGTAATCCCAGCTACTGAGGAGGCTGAGGCAGGAGAATTGCCTGAACCCAGGAGGCGGAGGTTGCAGTGAGCCGAGATCGCACCATTGCACTCCAGCCTGCGTAACAAGAGCGAAACTCCGTCTCAAAAAAAAAAAAAAAAAAAGAAAGAAAAGAAAAGCTGACCTGTAATAGCTGTATTTCTAAAAAGTTATCTAAATCTTTTACCAGCACAGTCTTACCCAGCCTTAGATACAAAGTACAATAATGGAAGAGATTATATTTTATAATCATAAAAACAAATGGAAATTTGCTCTTAGTTCATGCATGGCAGCTGAGAAACTATCTTATTTAATGTGATCCTGACCAGTAATAAATCAGTTCTCTGCGACAGCTGCTAAGTGGGAAATTTTTTTTAAAACCAGACAGACATTAATTTATGAATTGTATTTAAACTTAAAATATATCCATGTGTACACACATTTACTAATCTTTTGAAGGTGAGCCACAGCCTATTCTCTGAATATAGGTCTGCAGATGGAGTTTCATTGTTCTTTCCAGCAAAGAACATACATAACACATCATCACAATTTCTAGCTTTGGTTTTTTTATAATATGGGAAGAAATTAAAGATATCTGTGAGGGAACGCAGAAGCCTTCTAGATATTTGTGAGTTTTTCCCTAATCTTTGACAAATTTCATTCACACTGTATCATGACAGCAATTTCTTTTACAGTAAGTTATTTCAAAGTTTTTAAGTTGGTTTTAGAAATATTAGCTTTTCCTTTTTAAACTCATACTTTATCTATTTATACTATTAAAACTATCTTATTACAGATATTAGTGAAAGTGTATTACCTGGTTTGAGAACAAATACAGCTGACACATGCTCAGCAGGTAACTCTACCGGTGGGAACAGAAATAAATGTAAAGAAATGGGCAACCTACAAGCCCTAACATTCAGCTATGGTGTTACACAAGGAATGGAAGTTAGGTTCACTGGCAAGTTAGTTAAGAGGAGTTTAATAAGGAAATATTTACTCTATTCCTTTTTTGTAAACTGTACTTTCTTTTCTTAGAGCAGCTGTTCTCAAAGTAAGGACCATAGAGGGGATTTCTGAGACCATTATATTTTAGAGAATTCAAAATTAGAATTATTTTCATCATAACATAAATTATATGTTAATATTTGCACTGATGGTACAAAAAAAATAGTAAGTAAAACTGCTGTAACCTTAGCAAGAATCCAAGCAGGGTATTAACTGCCCTAATAGTCCTTGTATGATTTTGCGCTGCCATTGGTTGTTTTCTTGTTTTGTTTTGTTTTGTTTTGTTTTGTTTTGTTTTGTTTTGAGACGGAGTCTCACTCTATTGCCAGGCTGGAGGCAGGGGCAATCTCAGATCACAGCAACCTCCACCTCCCAGGTTAAAGTGATTTTCCTGCCTCAGTCTCCCAAGTAGCTGGGATTGCAGGCAACTACCACCACGCCTGGATAATTTTTTGTATTTTTAATTTTTTTTATTGCTATTTAGGTTTTGGGGTACATGTGAAGAACATGCAAGATTGTTGCATACACACATGGCAGTGTGATTTGCTACCTTCCTCCCTGTCACACTATATCTGGCATTTCTCCCCATGCTATCTCTCCCCAACTCCCCACTCCCCACTGTCCCTCCCCTATTTCCTCCCAACAGACCCCAGTGTGTGATGCTCCCCTCCCTGTGTCCATGTGTTCTCATTGTTCAATACCCACCTATGAGTGAGAACATGTGGTGCTTGATTTTCTGTTCTTGTGTCAGTTTGCTGAGAATGATGGTTTCCAGGTTCATCCATGTCCCTACAAAGGACACGAACTCATCGTTTTTGATGGCTGCAGAATATTCCATGCTGTATATGTGCCACATTTTCCCTGTCCAGTCTACCATCAATGGGCATTTGGGTTGGTTCCAGGTCTTTGCTATTGTAAACTGTGCTGCAGTGAACATTCATGTGCATGTGTCCTTATAGTAGAACACTTTATAATCCTTTGGATATATACCCAGTAATGGGATTGCTGGGTCAAATGGAATTTCTATTTCTAGGTCCCTGAGGAATCGCCATACTGTCTTCCACAATGGTTGAACTAACTTACACTCCCAGCAACAGTGTAAAAGTGTTCCTATTTCTCCACATCCTCTCCAGCACATCCTTTCCAGCATCTGTTGTCTCCAGGTTTTTTAATGATCACCATTCTAACTGGCATAAGATGGTATCTCAATGTAGTTTTGATTTGCATTTCTCTAATGACCAGTGATGATGAGCATTTTTTCATGTTTGTTGGCCTCATGTATGTCTTCTTTTGTAAAGTGTCTGTTCATGTCCTTTGCCCACTTTTGAATGGGCTTGTTAGTTTTTTCTTGTAAATCTGTTTTAGTTCTTTGTAGATTCTGGATATCAGCCCTTTGTCAGATGGGTAGACTGCAAAAATTTTATCCCATTCTGTTGGTTGCCAAGTCACTCTAATGACTGTTTCTTTTGCTGTGCAGAAGCTGTGGGTTTGATTAGGTCCCATTTGTCTATTTTGGCTTTTGTTGCCAACGCTTCTGGTGTTTCAGTCATGAAGTTCTTGCCTACACCTATGTCCTGAACGGTTGTGCCTAGATTTTCTTCTAGGGTTTTTATGGTGTTAGGTCTTATGTTTAAGTCTTTAATCCATCTGGAGTTAATTTTAGTGTAAGGTGTCAGGAAAAGGTCCAGTTTCTGCTTTCTGCACATGGCTAGCCAGTTTTCCCAACACCATTTATTCAACAGGGACGCCTTTCCCCATTGCTTGTTTTTGTCAGGTTTGTCAAAGATCGAATGGTTGTAGATGTGTGGTGTTGCCTCCGAGGTCTCTCTTCTGTTCCATTGGTCTATATCTCTGTTTTGCTATCAGTACCATGCTGTTTTGATTACTGTAGACTTGTAGTATAGTTTGAAGTCCAGTAGGGTGATGCCTCCCACTTTGTTCCTTTGCTTAGAATTGACTTGGCTATTTGGGCTCTCTTTTGGTTCCATATGAAGTTTAAGGTGGTTTTTTCCAGTTCTGTGAAGAAGGTCATTGGTACTTGATGGGGATAGCACTGAATCTGTAAATTACTTTGGGTAGTATGGCCATTTTCATGATATTGATTCTTCCTAACCATGAACATGGAATGTCTCTCCATCTGCTTGCGTTCTCTCTTATTTTGTTGAGCAGTGGTTTGTAGTTCTCCTTGAAGAGGTCCTTTACGTTCCTTGTTAGTTGTATTTCTAGGTATTTTATTCTCATTGTAGCAATTGTGAATGGCAGTTCGTTCTTGATGTGGCTCTCTTTAAGTCTGTTATTGGTGTATAGGAATGCTTGTGATTTTTGCACATTGACTTTGTATCCTGAGACTTTGCTGAAGTTGCTTATCAGTTTCAGGAGATTTTGGGGCTGAGACGATGGGATCTTCTAGATGTCCAATCATGTTGTCTGCAAATAGAGACAATTTGACTTCTGCTTTCCTATTTGAATACCCTTTATTTCTTTTTCTTGCCTGATTGCTCTGGCTAGAACTTCCAGTACTATATTGAATAGGAGTGGTAAAAGAGGGTATCCTTATCTAGTGCCAGATTTCAAAGGGAATGCTTCCAGTTTTTGCCCATTCAGTATGATATTGGCTGTTGGTTTGTCGTAAATAGCTTTTATTATTTTGAGATATGTTCCGTCAATACCTAGTTTATTGAGGGTTTTTAGCATAAAGGACTGTTGAATTTTGTGAAATGGCTTCTCTGCATCAATTGAGATAATCATGAGGTTTTTGTCTTTGTTTCTGTTTATGTGGTGAATTACGTTTATAGACTTGCGTATGTTGAACCAGCCTTGCATCCCCGGGATGAATTCTACTTGATCATGGTGGATAAGCTTTTTGATGTGCTGTTGCAATCAGTTTGCCAGTATTTTATTGAAGATTTTTGCATCTATGTTCATCATGGATATTGGCCTCAAGTTTTCTTTTCTTGCTCAGTCTCTGCCAGGTTATGGTATCAGGCTGATGTTGGTCTCATAAAATGATTTGGGAAGGATTCCCTCGTTCTGGATTGTTTGGAATAGTTTCAGAAGGAATGGTACCAGCTCCTCATTGTATGTCTGCTTGATTTCGGCTGTGAACCCATCTGGATCTGAGTTTTTTTTTTGGCTGTTAGGGTATAAATTGCTGCCTCAACTTCAGCCCTTGTTATTGGTCTATTCAGGGTTTCAACTTCTTCCTGGTTTAGGCTTGGCAGGAGGCAAGTGTCCAGGAATTTATCCATTTCTTCCAGGTTTACTAGTTTATGTGCATAGAGTTGTTTGTAATAATCTCTGATGATGGTTTGTATTTCTGTGGAATCTGTGGTGATAACCCCTTTAACATTTTTTATTGCATGTATTTTAATATTCTCTCTTTTCTTTTTTTTTTATTAATCTGGCTAGCGGTCTGTCTATATTGTTCATCTTTTCAAAAAACCAGCTCCTGGATTTATTGATTTTTTGAAGGGTTTTTTGTGTCTCTATCTCCTTCAGTTTTGCTCTGATCTTAGTTATTTCTTGTCTTCTGCTAGCTTTTGAGTTTTTTGATCTTGCTTCTCTAGCTCTTTCAATTTTGATGATAGGGTGTCAATTTTAGATCTCTCCTTGCTTCTCATGTGGGCATTTATTGCTACATATTTTCCTCTAGAGACTGCTTTAAATGTGTTCCAGAGATTCTGGTATGCTGTGTGTTTGTTCTCATTGGTTTTGAAGAACATCTTTATTTCTGCCTTCATTTAATTGTTTATCCAGTCAACATTCAAGAGCAAGTTGTTCAGTTTCCATGAAGCTGTTTGGTTCTGAGTTAGTTTCTGAATTCTGAGTTCTAACTTGATTGCATTGTGGTCTGAGAGACTGTTATGATTTCTGTTCTTCTGCATTTGCTGAGTAGTGATTTACTTCCAATTATGTGGTTAATTTTAGAGTAGGTGTGATGTGGTGCTGAGAATGTATATTCTGTGGATTTGGGGTGGAGAGTTCTGTAAATGTCTATTAGGTTTGCTTGGTCCAGGTCTGAGTTCAAGTCCTGGATATCCTTGTTAATTTTCTGTCTGGTTGATCTGTCTAATATTGACAATGGGGTGTTAAAGTCTCCCACTATAATTGTGTGGGAGTCTAAGTCTCTTTGTAAGTCATTAAGAACTTGCCTTATGTATCTGGGTGCTCCTGTATTGGGTGCATATATATTTAGGATGGTTAGCTCTTCATGTTGCACTGATCCTTTTACCATTGTGTAATGTCCTTCTTTGTCTCTTTTGATCTTTGTTGGTTTAAAGTCTATTTTACCAGAGACTAGAATGGCAAATCCTGCTTTTTTTTTGGCTCTCCATTTGCTTGGTAAATCTTCCTCCATCCCTTTATTTTGAGCCTTTGTGTATCCTTGCATGTGAGATGGGTTTCCTGGTTACAGCACACCGATGGGTTTTGGCTTTTTATCCAATTTGCCAGTCTGTGTCTTTTGATTGGGGCATTTAGCCCATTTACATTTAGGGTTAATATTGTTATGTGTGAATTTGATACTGCCATTTTGATGCTAGCTGGCTGTTTTGCCCATTAGTTGATGCAGTTTCTTCATTGTGTTGATGCTCTTTACCATTTGGTATGTTTTTGGAGTGGCTGGTACTGGTTGTTCCTTTCTATGTTTAGTGCCTCTTTCAGGAGCTCTTCTAAAGCAGGCCTGGTGGTGATGAAATCTCTGAGTACTTGCTTGTTCATAAAGGATTTTATTTTTCCTTCACGTATGAAGCTTAGTTTGGCTGGATATGAAATTCTGGGTTGAAAGTTCTTTTCTTTAAGGATGTTGAATATTGGCCCCCACTCTCTTCTGGCTTGTAGGGTTTCTGCTGAGAGACCTGCTGTGAGTCTGATGGGCTTCCCTTTGTGGGTAATCCGACCTTTATCTCTGGCTGCCCTTAGCACTTTCTCCTTCCTTTCAACCCTGGTTAATCTGACGATTATGTGCCTTGGGGTTGCCCTTCTTGAGGAATATCTTTGTGGTGTTCTCTGTATTTCCTGGACTTGAATATTGGCCTGCCTTGCTAGGTTGGGGAAGTTTTCCTGGATAATAACTTGAAGGGTATTTTCCAGCTTGGATTCATTCTCTGTCACATTGAGGTACACCTATCAAATGTAGATTAGGTCTTTTCACACAGTCCCATATTTCTTGGAGACTTTGTTCATTCCTTATTACTCTTTTTTCTCTAATCTTGCCTTCTCATTTTATTTCATTGAGTTGATCATTAACCTCTGATACCCTTTCTTCTTCTTAGTCAATATGGCTGTTGAAACTTGTGTATGCTTCATGAAGTTCTCGTGTTGTGTTTTTCAGCTCCATGAATTCACTTACATTCCTCTCTAAATTGTTTAGTC